TGGAGTTCCACAGACAGAAATTGCAAGAAAAGAAACTGTTGGAATAGAAATGGCAGTTGCATTTAGATATTTCAACAGTAAACAGTTGGGACCTAGATGCAAAGCTAGTAGCATGCTTAAATTCATGTAGTCAGGACACCAGGAAAAAAAGCTCATCAGACCAGTTGCCATGCTAGCTCTGGCTTAAAATAGCAAGGCAGCCTGGGATATCAAGCTATGTCTAGAAGAAGGACAGCTCTGAATTCAGAACTATATGTATCCTCAGCTTAGTGCATATGATACAACCATTGTCAAGGTCATGGATTACACAATGATTCTATAATCTCAATTGTGGCTGAACTATAACTAAGTCAGTGTATTATTATTAGTAACTTCTAAACATACTGCATATTATTGTTTATTTGTGGGGGAGTGGGAGGTACTCAATATTAAGAATGACTTTCATGTTTTAGAGCCAATGCAAATACAATTTGTTATATATTTTGCCACAGTAAAAAAAAAACAAATAAATAAATTAGTTTTGAAGTTACAGTATTAAGAATCTCCTTGATATTGAGTTTTTCTTTGTATTATTAACCATTTCCAAGCAAACCAGCCAAATACGCCTGATAAAGAAGGTATACATTATTGAATCAGTCTAAGTTAAGGGCTCTCAACCTGGGGAGGGGTACATACAGGGGGGATGTGGCTAGCTTCTTGCTGCTCTGTTGCTACTTTCATGGAAAGTGCTCAGACGAACTCCATTCCTTGGTTCTTCGAGGTCTAACCCTTCATGGCAAGGACCAACCATGTTACATACATAGTAGCATATCACCCACATTCCCCTCCGAATTTGATCAGCGATAAGTAAGTTCCACTCAAACAGCTTCTTCCCTTGAACCACTGATCTGTGTAACTCACTCCCAAGAGGATGTTTCCCAAATCACTACAATTTTAAACTAAGTCTCGAGTTAACTGTTATCTTCCCCTCCTATCTTTATAAACTGCCTCCCAATGTAACACTCTACCTCGACTAGACCCCCCCCCCCGGACCTTGTACTGGGTGAACTTTACTGTAAAAAAAATAATTCTATTGACCTTTTTATTATTTGAAGTATACTTCAGTTTATTTATTTAATAAGTATTTATAAATTAAAACAAATTTCTGTGTATGTATTTAAGTTTAAAAGTCTATCAACATTTATCTCGTCATTAAATTTTCTCTGTAAAACTAATGCATGTAAATGTGCATATGTACTAATAGGGAAAAAATTGAAGATTTTTAATATGCATATTATTTGGAATGCACAATTTCAGTCTGAAAATCTTGAAAAGGTGAGAAATGATATTCTGACGAAATGGTGAAAAGGATGCATGGGGCCAAACAAAAGAACTACTTGCCTCAAGGAAATATAACAGTTTAAATACTGCAGCAATATGCTCTGAAATTAGTGATTTATTTTGTGAGTTTTTTCTCTGTCACTGAATGTATTTTTTTCTACTCAGAAAACTCGGCATCAACTTGTGAATACTCAGGAGGCAGTGAAAAATTATTCTGAACTCTGATGACAATTTTGACGCAGAAGAAATTGATGAATTATTTCCAATAAAGACACAGACATTGAAAGCACTTATCTTAAGCCAAGTGCATGTACTATTGATGGCAATAGATATACTTATATATTTGAACACTTTCAACAATTTTATTACATTGATTTTCTCTGAAAATAACCAAAGTGAGATATTCTTGAGTAATAGAATCCTACTTGAATATATTGGGATTAACTTGTGTCAACAGGGTTTGCAGCCAGCCTGTCTCTGGATGGATATTTGGCTTAATCCATTCATTCTTAACAAATCGTGTAATCAACATAGTTTTGAACAGATATTCTTCTAGTTCATTTCACATTAATGTGACAGTTCCCCAGGGATCATATCCTTTGACCTACGTTGTTTCATATCTTCATCAACAACATTTCCAATGTTATCAGTTCCCATCAAGATATTTATGCTTATGGCACAACTATTTACTCCTGTCTTAGTCACAAATCCAACAGCTATAACAAATTAAAAACTGGCAGCTGCTCACAAAAATGACCTTCTATCAGTGAATAACTGGTGCGAGAAATGTCTTGTAAATTTTAATGCTTCCAAAACAAAGCTTCTTTCATTTAATCAGCACAGAGAACTTTGTCTACAAACATGAAGGGTAGTGATAATATTGAACCAATTGTTAGAAATGTTGGTTCACTGTATCATGCCAGTCTTTTTTGTTTTTTTATCAGAATCCATGTTGTCCATTTATAAATCTGTTTGTACATTGAACACTGCCGCCACATCTGATCTGGTCTCCTACTATAGATCTTGAGATTCTTGACAAAATCCAAAGAAGGGTTTGTAACATAATTAATCCAGACCTGGCATCTCGACTTTAGTCATTTTCCCATCACTGTGACATGGCTTCCCTCTGCCTTTTCTACAAATATTTTCATAGCAGTTGTTCTGATGCATGATTTTAACCATTTCTATTAGATTGAAAACTAGGTCTCACCATTTTACTGTTGAACTATCTATAGATGCAACTATATATTTTATTCTAATAGTTTCTTTTCTCACACTTCTTGCCCACAAAACTACCTTCCGGTTTCTTGTGTTCTTGATATATAAAATGTTTAAAAATTTATATACAATTCCAATCATTATCTTTTGTCTTCTTGTAGCTTGTTCTTTTATTTTCTGTTCTCCTCACTAAAGTTTTCTCATTCTCTTTATTGTAAAATGATAAAAAAAAAATCCTAGAAAACAGGGAATTATCACAGAATTAAAAAATAGTCATTTTTCTATAGAAAAACTCAATGAATTACCAAGGAATTTTAGTTCAATTTTAGAGAATGAACACCAAATGGACCTTTTACAAAACAACATACTAAATGCAGTAGTTGCTCACAAAAATGAGCCTGGTCATAATTTTGATTTAAAATGCTACTTTGATTAAAAGCGAAAGAAAGTTACTGAGATGGAAATGTATAGAAAGTGCTTTAATCGCTAGATCATCCAGAGGAAACTGATGTCCTGGTTCTTACAACATTTTACCTTTCTTGGCAGATCTTCTATTTTCACAATGTGTTAACAAAAATGATGAAAATATAAACAAAAAGAAACTAAACCCAGACACATCTTAAAAAAAATTTAGTTTAAAAGTTTTAGTAACCTCTCTCCTTCATACATATATGTAAAAATACAAATATTAATTTTAATTATCTTATATAATGTTTTTTTCTATCTCATATTCTTTCACACTCAGTATCCACTTGCAGCATAGTAGCTTTATTGCTTTGTTTTTAGATAATTTCTTAGAAATGAAGGTAAAACAGAAAAAAAATAGATTAATTTTTTTCTTTAAATGGTTTTTTTTTTATCTCTTTATTTATCTATCTATGAAATTCTGAAATCCACTTGGGAGATAAAAGTAATTTTATTTATTTTATGTCATATGTTTCTTAAAATTTTCTTGCATTTGTTTTTCTTAAAGAAATTAATTTATAACATCAGTTTATTTGAATGTATTCAGAAGTGAAGAATTAATACAATTTTTTAGTTGGGTTAATATATGTAGTGAATTCTTTCCATTTTAGAGAGAACAATAAAAGAATAGGAATTAAGAAGACAGAAGATAACACTTGACATTGCATTTAAATTTCTGAGGATCAAAATTGACTGGAAAGCAAGCCAGAAGAGAATTCCCCAAGTGAGAATTATGAGAAAAGAAATTGTTAGCAAAGAACTACTGTTGCATTCTAGCCAGTTCAACTGTAAAATGATGAGACTGTGCCAAAATTATTTATAGAAAAGGTTTAGGGAAGCTACGTTATGGTGGTGGGTAAGGAACTGAAGCTGAGATGCCAGGTCAGGGCCAGACACTTTACATATTCTTTGGATGTTATCAAGAATTTCAAAATGCATAACAGGAACACCAGACCACGTGTAGCAGCAATATTCAAAGCATGGATGAATGGTAGACTTTTGAGTATGTAAGATAGATTCTGGAAAGAAAAATTGTCAAGCACATCACAGTGAACCAACTTTCTTAGTTGCAGACCTCGCAATTGATTCAATATAATCTTTAGCCCATGAAGGTGCAAGGAGTCACTTTACTAGTGGTTAGCATCAGCCATATATTTTTCTTGTATTTTTCTACCAAAACAACCTCATTTGAATGTATTCAAATAATTGGATTTTAAATAATTTGCATATTCTTGTTAAAGAGTGAACCAATTTACCTAATAGCAGACCTAGCAATTGATTCAATATAAACTTTTGATTTTATTTCAATGGACAACATTAGCTCAAGAAGGGGCAATGAGTTAATCCCCTGGAGGTTAGCATCAGCCATGCTGATGGAAGGTTCTCAAATATTATTAAATGTTTAAAAGTGAACAGTTTCATTTATTTTAAATTTCTCTTTTTTTTTCTTTAATATCAATGTTCATAGATATTAAAATATCTTAAAAGTCAAAACGAAGCCATGATTCTATTCTGTATCAAGCAAATTAATTGTTCTGTAAATTTCCTTTGTATTCTTTGTCTGTTTTGCTTTTTTTCCATAATCAGAACCAGTTTGTTGTTTGTGACTTTGGACTTTAAAAAATGCTGCTTCATTACCTGGAAATGTGATAGAAGAAAAAAAGAAAAGAGTCACATGACATTCCAACCGATTCCATTCTCTGCTTGTATTAGAACAAACCTCCAAAAGTTACTAATGTACATGCTTCTACATTCGTTGTCAACTTCATAGTTTTTTTATTAACCTCACTCACTATTTCTTCCTTAGAATTTTTATTTCTTTCTTGCTCTTAAATTCTCTCACTCTCTTTTTTTCACTCTTTCTCTTTGCTGATTTTGCTCCCTCTCACTAACATCCCTCAATCTGTCCTATTTCCTCACTCTCTCTCATGATCTATTGCACCCTCTTTCTCACATTCTCTCTCACTCTTTCTCTCTTAGCCCTCTGAATATTTTGCATGTTTTTTTTTTCAAGGAATTGTTCTCTCTTGTTTTTTCACACACGCATCTCTCTCTCTCTCTCTCTTTCTTATTCTCTCTATAATTTCTTATTTCTTTCTCTTTCACTTTCTCACTCACTTCCTCTCTTTCTATGCATTTTGTATGATGGTTTGTTAAAGGAAAATGATTGTAAGTTATTGTTTTCCTTTGCCTTAACTCTCTCTCATATACTCCTTGTATATCTCCCAGTCTCTTCTTGCTTTCTCACTCTCCCTATTTCTTTCTTGCATACTCTCACATTCTCTCTCTCCATTTTGTATGAGGATTTTTATCAAGATATTCTTCTCTTTTCTGTCATTTTTTGGAAAATCTCTTTCTTGTTTTCTCACTCTTTCTCTCCACTTACTCTCTTACTCTTTCTCTCCCACTTACTCTCTTACTCTTTCTCTCCACTTACTCTCTTACTCTTTCTCTCTCACCCTCTTTCTACATATTGTATAATGATTTTTATCAATGAAAATGATAGCTATACAATTTCACTTATAATTTTCACACAGTAATGAAGAGATCATTTGATCTTGCCGTGAACCATTTCATTTCTTATCTAAACTCTATAGAAAAATTCAAAGACTTTCTAAAAGCATTTCATTTACAAGTCTGAGAATTTCCTAGCAGGATTCTCATCTTCTTTTTCTCTATAAGAAACTGCAGAACCATGTTTCTGCAGACGAGACTTATTTTCCTTTTTTTTTTCACATTCATTTGAACTTTGTCAACACCAATTTTACAAGTTGATAAACATTCTGAATGTTTTACCATCAATAACCTGATATATCAACACTTTATGATTTGTGTAAATCATCTCTCTGGTTCCAATTAGATATCTCTGGCAGATAGGTCCAGTTAGATATCACTGGCAGATTTACTAAGCATGAATTAGATGTGGCACAAGGCTGAAAGTGTGGAGCACCCAGTGATGATTGATTTCACTATCCAGTCATAATTGATCTAGTGAGAGAAGCTTGCTAACCATTACATCATGTTGAAATGCCCACCCCTTTTTCTTCTATATGTCATGCCCCTTCAGAACTTCCTGTCCTTTGTAGCTCACAGTATAGTTTTTCTTTTTTCTATCTCTCCTAATCCCTGTTCTGCCAACCATTTACACAGGCTCTGCTTTCCTATCTCTCTCTTGCCTTCAGTATATCTTGTGAGTGTCAAATTTTCCAAGCCCTTTTTTCTCACTATGTAATCTAGAGATTTCAACTCTCGCTTTCCGATGCAACATATTCATAATATTTTTTGGTATAATTTTTTCTAAAATCTCCTCATTACCTGTATGTTCAGTCCATGGTATTCTTAGCATCCTTCTGTAAAACCACATTTCTGCTGCCTCAAATCTCTTCTTCATCTGTGAGGAGATTGTCTAGCATTCACTGCCATATAGGAGGACTGATATTACATAACAATTCAGTACTCTATCATTTGTTTCTGATGAAATTTTCCTGTTTCTTAATACTTTGCTTAATTTTTGGAAGGCATCTTTCACTATCCCAAAGCACTTTCAGATTTTGGTGTTGCATTTTTCTTACCATAGTGTATCTGATTCAGGCATAATTAAAAGGGAGAAGAGGAAAACTAAAACTCTAATAGTTGGTAATATTAGTATGTCCATAAACAGATCACACCTACCAACCATTCCTTTTATTAACATATAGATGATTGTCTTGATTTAATATAAATTGTCTCAAGGACTTTCAAATGGTATTTGGAATGTAATCTGCTCAATACTGACTACATGCCCTTGTGGAATTTATATTAGAACAAGACAACCATCCTTATGCAAAGTTCGGACTGTGGGATTTGTTTATATATATATATATATATATATATATATACACACCCATATTGCAAATTATTGTAGTTTATCTTGTCCCTTTTAATTTTCTGTTTTTATTGCGTTAATAATAAGTTTAATTTCCATTGTCTTTTACAGTTATTTCAAAACTGTGACCAAGAGACAGGGATTTATTATCTTTAATTAAATTATCTGTTGTCATTTATATCTATTACTTTAATGTATACAAGTATAACTATACATAAAAACTTTTATTTGAGAATCTCCCCTGAAACACATCACAATGATCATATGGCACTTAAAGGTATATTGCAGATCATTGTCGTTAATCAATTACATATTTGGATTATATGAAGATTTTTTGCCATAGACACTGGTAAACAGCTGTTATAAAGTCCCCAATATTTATCATCATCATCATTATCACTCCCATGACCGAGTATGGTTGTAGGGTCACAGCTCAGCTGAGCACCTGATCAGTTCCCGCCACATATATAAATTGAAAGCTTGATAGGTATTCATTCATGCATAGTGTGTTTTCAGCAAGTAAACCTGATGGAGCCCATCCCTCTTTAGGTGAACCCACAGACAATGTCCTTCAACTTGAGGGCTCCCTTTGGTCATGGACATGTGGCTATTGACTGTATTGTGGGCAGGTGGGGGGGGCGCCTGCACTCTTGTTGTTGACTTTATAGACATGATAAAGATTTATGGAAAACATTGTTACTGCTTGAAAATAATTTTTATTTTTTTATTTTTTTTGGCAACAGTTCATAATGTGTATCTGTTTTCTTTTAAATTGAGGTGACACTTTTATAAGTTATTAAACTTAGAATATAATACCATACCAGTTCAAGCCCATGTACGTGTGTGTGTGCAATTGCTGTTCTGGGGGTGAAAAGATAGCATGGGGAATAGATTTCAAATGTGAAAAATGAAACACCCAAGGGAGACAACTGAGAAATTGCCTGTTATTTGCATGAAAGCAACTCTGCTAATTAAAATCTTGGCAAATTTTCTAATTGTCTATGGAATGGTAATTAAGAAATTCTGAAAATAGTTCTCCATTCTTATTTTCTTGTGATCTTATCTGTAGGTTTGTTAACATTAAAGAATCTTCTTGTTTGAAATAAAATCACTTTTTGCTAAATTTTATCACTTTTATATTCACAAGTTCAGTCCCTGTCACTTTTCTGACCAGCAAGATCAAATTTCAAATCTAATTTCTAATGTAAAATATTATACTCTTTTCTTATTACCCAGAGTTGTTGCCAGATAGAAAGGAAAATTATCCTTCACAGATATCCATCACATTTTTATTTAAAGCTAGAAAATACTTTTAGATTATAAGAATTAAAAAAAAAAATTTTTTGTGATAATAATGATTTAGTGACATAAGTTTTAGCAATTAACCCATAAAATAGGTGGATTCATACCTTTCTCAAGAGTATTTATATGTAAGTGAATATAACAAACTGAATGGGAATTGAAACTTGTCTGTCTGGTCTCTAATTCTGAGCTGTTATCCATTACACCACCTGCACATCCAAGCTTACAGCACATGGTATTCCCAAGAGGTCATCCATTTAGGTACTGACCAGTCTCAATGTTGCTTAACTTTGAGGATCATACAGGAACTGGTTTTTCAACATGACATGACCATAAACCTTTTACTGGTTTGATACCTGTTGCTTTCTTTACAGCAAATTTCAGATCTAAATTGGTTTTCCATTTAAAATACTATATTTATTAGAAAATATATTCAGTTTAAATACAGGAGTCATAAAAACAACTTCAAAGAGATGCACATTTTGACTTATACTCTTTTCCTATTACTCTGAGGTTTTTGGCAGACTGGGAAATTAACTCTCTTGACACAGATGTCCATTAAGTTTCCTTCCAATTGTGTGGATTTGTATGTTTTATGGGTTCATGTATATTTCAATTCAATGACAGAAATTGTGAATAGTTCTGCCACATTTAAAAAAAAAAAAATGAGTTTTTCACTGAGAAATTAATTGTGCCATTTTTCTTCTATCTTCATTTGTGACATATTTTCCTCCCACTCCTTTTGTGCCATTTTTACCTGATTTAAATTTTTGTGGCCATTTAAATTTAAAAAAAAAAGTTAACCTAAATTTACTTCACATCATCCTAAGAAATAAACTGGACACTTATTGTCCTGCCACCTTGATGATCTTAGGCTTTTAGGTATTATTAAATATATGTGAATAGACTGATTTTGATATGTTATAGATATCAATAGATTGATATGAATTGATAGGAATGAGAGTAAAATAATCATTGATAAGATACTAAAGCTCCTTTAGAAAATAAAAAATATCTGAAACAAAACATGATTATTAATTATTTTTATTTTATTTCAGAGCCATAGACACATGTAAGCAAAAAAAAAACAAAAAAAAAAAACAAAACATTTTGCTGGATTCTGTTGTTAAGGTTAAATGTATTATTCCTTAATCTAGGGTATGTGCTGTCTTGAAATGTACCATTCAATTATTCCTTAATCTAGGGTATGTGCTGTCTAGACCCCAAGTGGGAATGTACCATTCCAATGTATTATTCCTTAATCTAGGGTATGTGCTGTCTAGACCCAAGTGGGAATGTACCATTCCAATGTATTATTCCTTAATCTAGAGTATGTGCTGTCTAGACCCAAGTGGGAATGTACCATTCCAATGTATTATTCCTTAATCTAGAGTATGTGCTGTCTCTAGAATGTACCAAAATTATTCCTTAATCTAGGGTATGTGCTGTCTGGGAATGTACCATTCAATGTATTATTCCTTAATCTAGAGTATGTGCTGTCTAGACCCAAGTGGGAATGTACCATTCCAATGTATTATTCCTTAATCTAGGGTATGTGCTGTCTAGACCCAAGGGAATGTACCATTCAATGTATTATTCCTTAATCTAGGGTATGTGCTGTCTCAAGTAGACCATTCCAATGTATTATTCTTAATCTAGGGTATGTGCTGTCTAGACCCAATGAATGTACCATTTCAATGTATTATTCTAATCTAGGTATGTGCTGTCTAGACCCAAGTGGGAATGTACCATTTCAATGTATTATTCTTAATCTAGGGTATGTGCTGTCTAGACCCAAGTGGGAATGTACCATTCCAATGTACCATTCCAATGTATGTGCTGTTAGACCCAAGTGGGAATGTACCCATTAATCTATTCCTTAATCTAGGTATGTGCTGTCTAGACCCAAGTGGGAATGTACCATTCCAATGTATTATTCCTTAATCTAGAGTATGTGCTGTCTAGACCCAAGTGGGAATGTACCATTCCAATGTATTATTCCTTAATCTAGGGTATGTGCTGTCTAGACCCAAGTGGGAATGTACCATTCCAATGTATTATTCCTTAATCTAGGGTATGTGCTGTCTAGACCCAAGTGGGAATGTACCATTCCAATGTATTATTCCTTAATCTAGAGTATGTGCTGTCTAGTCTGGGGAATGTACCATTCCAATGTATTATTTAATCTAGGGTGGGATGGAATACCATTCAATGTATTATTCCTTAATCTAGGGTATGTGCTGTCTAGACCCAAGTGGGAATGTACCATTCCAATGTATTATTCTTAATCTATGTGGGTATGTGGGGAATGTACCATTCCAAGACTTAATCAATGTGCTGTCTAGACCCAATGAATGTACCATTCCAATGTATTATTCTTAATCTAGAGTATGTGCTGTCTAGACCCAAGTGGGAATGTACCATTCCAATGTATTATTCCTTAACTTAGGGTATGTGTGTCTGACCCAAGTGGGAATGTACCATTCAATGTTATTCCTTAATCTAGGGTATGTGCTGTCTAGACCCAAGTGAAATGTACCATTCCAATGTATTATTCTTAATCTAGAGTATGTGCTGTCTAGACCCAAGTGGGGAATGTACCATTCCAATGTATTATTCCTTAATCTAGGGTATGTGCTGTCTAGACCCAAGTGGGAATGTACCATTCCAATGTATTATTCCTTAATCTAGAGTATGTGCTGTCTAGACCCAAGTGGGAATGTACCATTCCAATGTATTATTCTTAATCTAGGGTATGTGCTGTCTAGACCCAAGTGGGAATGTACCATTCCAATGTATTATTCCTTAATCTAGAGTATGTGCTGTCTAGACCCAAGTGGGAATGTACCATTCCAATGTATTATTCCTTAATCTAGAGTATGTGCTGTCTAGACCCAAGTGGGAATGTACCATTCCAATGTATTATTCCTTAACTTAGGGTATGTGCTGTCTAGACCCAAGTGGGAATGTACCATTCCAATGTATTATTCCTTAATCTAGAGTATGTGCTGTCTAGACCCAAGTGGGAATGTACCATTCCAATGTATTATTCCTTAATCTAGGGTATGTGCTGTCTAGACCCAAGTGGGAATGTACCATTCCAATGTATTATTCCTTAATCTAGGGTATGTGCTGTCTAGACCCAAGTGGGAATGTACCATTCCAATGTATTATTCCTTAATCTAGGGTATGTGCTGTCTAGACCCAAGTGGGAATGTACCATTCCAATGTATTATTCCTTAATCTAGGGTATGTGCTGTTTAGACCATGTACCATTCCTTAGCTGAGGGTATGTGCTGTCTCAGCCAATGTATTATTTCAAAGTCAGTCAAATTATGTATCTGCATGTTAATGTGTATTCATTAAATTCTAAAAAAACATGCAAGTCACAATACAGACATCTGCATATACGTTGTATACACAAACGCAAACTCTCATGCAGATGTGTTCAGATGTGGTGGCAAATTGATAAATAGATGTTTTATTAGATATTAAATTGCCCATATAAATGTTGATATGCAAAGCTTCAAATGTTAACATAACAACCAATATGGATCCCACTGACAATTCCATGAAAAGTTTTCCAGACAACTAAACCCAGTTCATTTCTACATCATTATCCTTATGTTACAGCATATGTGGTGGGTGGACCAGGATGGACAGCAATTGATCAGAATACCTTATGGGCTTCTTATTCTGACAGTAATCAATTACCTTTGTCTAAGTTTTGGATATAACATCTAAATGGTGTGAAGTTAACATAGGGCTGTAGGAATTTTGACACATTGATATACTTCCCACAACCAGGTTCAAGAGACAGGCTAAGATCACACAAGCAGGGATGCTAAGCCAATGAGCAGCAAGTTCTTTCTCCCATTGTCTTTTAGAATCCATACTGCCACATTTGTCCCTCTCCTCTGATAAAACAAGAAAAGAAAAAGAAAACTTCTTTCATTGGTACCATTTATATAGTAATATTGGGGTCCTGTGACAACCAGAGCCGGCACTTGGGTATCAAACCCCACCTGCCTGGTGAAACTTTAATACTGGGCCCCACTCTATACTACATGTCAATTTCAAAGTTTCCCATCCTGGGGGCCAGAAACCCTTGTAGGAAAATTGGTGGGGAGGGCAGAGCTTTTTTTTAAATTACCAAAAATCATGGAATTATCCACTTTAAATGAAAATTTCAGTACATTTTCATTATTTACTTACTTTTGCAATGAATAGTTTGTTTTTATTTTTAAAAAAATCTGAGAAATTTTTATTCTTTTTGTAATAACCATCAATATTTTCATGACTAAATTTTACTCAAAAAAATGTTTAAGTTGCAAATTTTACATTTCCATACAGATTAATCGTCAATGCATCGCCACCAAAAAAAAATGTTTTAAAAAGATTCTAACACAACACAAATGGTATTGTCTTAAAAATTTGTTTTATAAACAGTGTTTCAGTTTTCAGGGAAATTTTTCATGTGTTCAAATCTTTAAATATTTTTATTTTTTAAGCAATCATTTTCTTGGTTTTATTTTTCTAGAAATGTAAAAAATAGGGACTAGAAATTTTATTTTAATTACAAGCCATGGACTTCTTTTTAGTATTACTTTTAGTAAAAAAATCAAAAAAATCAGAGATCCTCCTTAGTGGATGATCTCAGAATAAAAAATGATTTTACGAAGATATATTCCCCTCTTAATTGATTTAAAAGAACTTTCCAGAAAGAAAATTACAATTTAAAAAAAAAAAGTGCTATGGAAATTAGCACTTCTTCACCCCCCTCCCCAGTAGGCATTCGGCCCCCATGTGGTTGAAAGGCATGGGGTAGTAAACAATGGCCCTGTTGATTATTATAGTTGATGATTGGCAATACAAGTTAGGTAGAAAAAAAAAAGCAAAAAACCGCTGCTGAATGTAGCTCTTTCACGCCTCCAACCTCGTCAAGGATTCCTGTGTAGTATGAACTACACAGTGTCATTCAGATACACAATATTAATAATCAATATTAGTTGATGACTGACAATGTAACGTCAGTATAAAAATAATTAAGAAAATGGTGAATGGCAATAAAACATTGCTGAAAAGAAAAATTGTAGAGGCCACAACAGGGCCCCCCAAAACATGGCTCCACCCCTGGTGGGGGTCTCGGGGTTAAGACACCCCAGCCCTGGAACATGGAACACATCAATGATCATCAGTCTCATTCCCTAGTTACAGAGTTGCTACAAGGCTGACTACCTGACCAGTAAGCTGGCAAGGTATTCATAACATGTCTTGGGCAAATAGACCAATTCAAACGTTTATAGCTAGAACTCACCATGTGATACATCACCC